TTCACTGGCGGTATGGCGGGGCAAATTTACATTAGTTTAATGAGGACTGTATAACGCAGACAATTGGGGGATGGCAGATGGTAGTGTGAAGGCGTAAATACTATGTTTATATGAAGGCGTTCCTTTTCGTACATTCGGAAAAACCTGGCGGTAATCGGGGCTGGTCTTTTAATGGGGGCGGGGGTGGGTATTAGAAACTTTCCTCTTGGAAGAAATCCTGTACTGTGCTTATTGTTCAGCAAGCAAAAGAGAACAAAATTAATACAGACACACTATTTCCAGCTCGGTCCGACGTTGTGTCCTAGGGAAAGACACTTTACACAAATTTCCCCTTTGGCTCTGTCCTTTCGGAAATGGACGTTAAACTCAGAGGTCCTGTGTCTTAAATAACTATATAAGGTGGGTAGCGGTATAACGAGGTTTTATTTAATATGTGTGTGCGTGTGTGTATGTCTGTATGTGTTTTGTTTGTGTGTATAATATGGGAGTATGCGTGTGTTTGTGCGTGTGTATGAGTTTTATTTGTGTGTATATGTGTGTATGTGTGTGTATGTGTGTATGTGCATGCATGGGCGTGTGTATGTGAGTGTATGTGTGTATGTGTGTGTGTCTGTGTGTGTGTCTGTGTGTGTGTCTGTCTGTGTGTGTGTGTGTGTGTGTGTGTGTGTGTGTGTGTGTGTGTACAGTACAAAATAGTGATATAGTAGTAGCTGTACATCCACACAGCAGCTGTGCCCTTCTCACACATTCATAGATGTTCAGTTTGCCCCCCTTTCAGACCTGCGCCCAATTACAGACGCTACAAGTATAGACGAAGGTCAGCAAAAAAGTGTGCGGTCCTGGTGAGAAAGTGGGTCAGTCAGAAATCATTTTGCCCCGAGAACAACAAAGTGACAAAACAATTTTTCTTTCTAGGCGTTCTAAGGACGAGGAGGACACGTGTGTGCTTTCGATCAATAGCAGGCTCAAGGCAATATTGCGCAACATCTCCTTCTATATTATACAAGTCAGAAACACGAATTTGCTTCGTTTATAGTATGCTGGCATTTTTGAGGCTCAGAAAAAGGAAATCAAACTGAAAAAAAAACCCAAAGTTGTATGAATAACTAAGGTGGATGGTTGGCGGGTCCTCTGGTGCAGTTTTCTCCTTCTTTCCTATCAAACATCTATCGTCTTTATCCTATCTCCCTTCCTTCTGCTTTGTGTTAGTAACTCCATTGTAACACGTCTAATCTTCGGCACTTATATGACCTTTTTGTGTTGCAAGTGCCGGAAAACTCATCCGAAAAATAAAAAGAATAACGAAGTGTGGAAGTTATTACTCTTCTTTTTGAAAAAGGGGGGGGGGGGCTCTCGTTCAAAGGTCCCGGGTTCGAATTCGGGTAGCGACCAAAAAATGTTCTTCTCTAAAATTGTCTCCTTTCACCTCCTTTCCTGCTCTCTAGCAATGTTCTGTTGTCTGCTTTCATTTCCACTTTCTGCCCCCACCCTCTCACCTCCTTTGCCCCCTCCTCTGGGCTCCTGACTCTTTCTGCAGCCTTTCTACTGCTACTCCTTGGCTCCTCCTTACTGCTGTCTTTCTGGTAGGAAAGATCTACACCTAGCCTTCTCGGACAAGGGCGAAAAATCTCGGAGAGCCCGTGTGCAATTTGCGCACGTTAAAGATCCCTTGGTGGTCTAAAATCGATAAGAGTAGGCTTCGGCCGCCACCCGGGCAAAATTCCAAATTTCCTACAACTGAAAATATTATGTGTGTTCCGCGCGCTCATATGACCTATGCAGTTGCAAGCGCCGTAAAACACTTTACAAAAAAAAAACAATTTTTTGAAGTTCGCAAAATAGCGAGTCTTCTCGTGCTGTTGAACAACAAGACAAGGCGACGCCGCCTTCAAGGAGTAGAACAAGAGATTGATGCGTCACTCAAGGATAAATCTATAATGCGGCCAACAATATTCGTGGCGCAACTTATCACAAAGTATCTCTTTTATGGATGAATCAATGTCATCCATACTTTGAACGGCAGTTTGTATTAATTTGTCTTAACTAAATCAGATTTTTCCACAACAATTGAAGGTAAATTTTAATACATTTCTTCTTAAATCTATATAAAATACTATAGATCTATATCTCCGTCACGTAGAAAATGGGGTTGTTCACAGCACTTCCTGCTTCTCACACACATTTTGTATATTATGCATATGGCTTACGTTATAGTTCACCAATGACACTTTTTAGCTGCAAAACTTGTTTCAAGACATTCATTTTATAGTGAACACTTTAGTGCACTAAAAGTTCTCAAAACGTGCGTTCAATGAGCATAATGTCGCGATTTTTGAAAAAGAACGGACTTACTATTGAAAGCATTATTGTCCCTGCTGTAGACCTTTTAAAATCTGCAGAAACCAGCCACTGGGATTTTTTGTGAGTATTTATTAAAGAATTATCTAGTATTCAGCTATCAGGTGTTTACAAAAATAGTGATCTGTTAAGACAAATTGATAAAAAGCCTCTGGGCAAAAGGTGGAGAGTCCAATATAATACGTTTGATGGTTGAGCAAATACTTGACGAAAAGTTGCGCAATGAATTTTTGACCGCACTAGGCCTATATTATATTATAAATATATCTAGTCTCACGGCACAGTTCAATGACCGAGCAACAAAACATGAAAAGGGAGCTGTTTGGGCGACGTGTAGACGACCTTCCCACAAATGGCTCCTTAAGAATCTACGTTTTTTCAACGCTCGACACGTCCACGCAAACTCTAATAAAAGTGCAGTCTGCACTTTCCACACACACCACCACTCTCTCTCTCCTTCTCTCTCTCTCTCTCTCTCTCTCTCTCTCTCTCTCTCTCTCTCTCTCTCTCTCTCTCTCTCTCTCTCTCTCTCTCTCTCTCTCTCTCTCTCTCGTGCAGTCGTTACAGTTCACCCAATTCCCACACTACCTTGTTCTTTCTATATTCTATATACTGCAGTCATCACCCCCCTCTCAGTAAACCCCCCCCCCTACTTACTGAATTGTTTTTAGGCCATTCCCAAACTGGGGATATTAACATGTTCTTATGCACTGTAGAATTGTAAATGGGCAGATTCATCAATGTCATGCTCATAACTGTGCCTGAACTGCAACGGGGGAACTGCTGCTTTTTCTTTCCTAATCCTTGCTATAGTCATTTTTCCTCTACTTTTTTTGTTTGTTTATCACACTCCTCTATTTCCTTGATAGTCGAAGCAGACTTTGTGCTGTTGAAGCTAGAGAGGTGAGCAGAGTAAATCTGATTCTCTGTATGAACTTCTCTGTTGACATCCACCCCTTGGCGCTCATTTGACCTTTGCAGTTGCGAGCGCCGTAAAACCTTACTAAAAACTAAACTATATAGCCTATTCCAGAGTTTGGGCTTTCGAGTTGACACTACTCCAAGAATGGCCCAACTGGGGTCCGGTTTATGACGTGTATGTGACGCAGATGTCCGCCGATACAGGGTTACCTAAATCACCAGGTGCCACAAAGTGAGACACGTGTGTAAAAAGTGAGTGTACAGTGCAACCGAAAAACTTTCTGGTACAACAAGAGAGAGTTCAGTGCAACCGAAAAACGTTCTGGTACAACAAGAGAGAGTACAGTGCAACCGAAAAACTTTCTGGTACAACAAGAGAGAGTACAGTGCAACCGAAAAACTTTCTGGTACAACAAGAGAGAGTACAGTGCAAATGTAAAACTTTCTGGTACAACAAAAGGGAGCATACAGTAAAAGTAAAGTTATTCCCGCATCCGATCAGGACATTGGGGATTGCCTTGTTAGTGAGACAGCTTCCTGGGCCTTCGGCATATTGTGGTAGGGTGGCCAGTTCCTTTCCACGTCGCCTTTACTTCCCCAAGGTGAAGTTAGGTACCCATTATTGCTGGGTGGGAAGGAGGGGGCGAAAAAATCCGTGTCTAAAGCGAGGCTCGAACCCGCAATCTCCGCTTCAGAGACGAGCGCACTAACCGCTCCGCCACCGTACCCTCTAGAGTATACAGTATACAGTATCACCGTAAAATTCTCTGGTACAACAATAGAGTATACAGTACCACCGTAAAACTATGGTGCAACTAGAGAGTATACAGTATCAGTATCACTGTAAAAACTCTCTGATAAGAAAGGATAAGATAAAATAAGATAGTACTTTATTA